CTTGCACCTACGGGCCAGCCAGCCCAGTGTGGCCACAGTTGGTCTGGGCTCTATGGAAAGAACTTCAGGAAGTGGAGCAGAAGTAAGTTTGAAACCAGAGACAGCTGGTGATCTTCCAGGTTCTGCGGGGCCACCAACCCCGGGCCAGCCAGGAGAGCAGCCCAGTGAATGAACTCTCTTTGTCCTTTTCTGTCACTGTGAACCCACCCTATGGGCCTAGAGAGGCTAATGGGGGAGGAAGCTGATCTCATCAGCCCATGGGGTACCTGGCTCTCCCTAACTTTACAGATGGGGACACAGGAGACCTTGGACTTGTCCGTGTTCCAAGCAAAAGACTCATTTCTCTTTCCTGACTACCTTCAACGCGTGGCATCTGTTAGCGTCTCAGGATCGCTGTTACCAGAAACCACACACTCAGTGACTCAGAACATGCCAGTTTCTGGAGGCCTGAAGTCCAAAGTCAGTTCCACTGACTGGAGTCAAGGTGTCAGCAGGTCTGGTTCCTCCTGCAGGCTTCGGGATAGTTTCCTAGCTTCTGGAAGCTTCTGCAGTCCTTGTCTTGTGACCCTTTCTGACTCCTCCAGCTGCCATGCTTCCACAGAGGCACATCCTGACTCTGATCATATCTCCCTCTGTTTGCTGTATTTTTTTAATGTAGCCCAGGCTGGCCTCAAACTCACCTTGTAGAGGAGGAAGAGGATGACCTTGAACTCCTGATCTTCTGCCTATACGTTCTGGTATTCTGGATCACAGGCTTGTGGCACCCCACCTGGCTTTCTGTTTGCCTCTCTTGATTGCTTTTAGTGCCTGCCTAGACAATCTTCCCATCTCAAAATCAGCAGTTTGATCCCTTTACCACATCAAGTGCAACAGGTTCTGGGGATGGAGAGCTTTGAGTCAGCTGGTCGCACTGCTCCCTACTCCACACACAGTTCCCTGGCTGTGACAGCAGAGTCAGCAAGGGTCTGAGTTCCGCTGAACGATACATTGAGCTCTAGAGTTGCCTGGAATACAGACAGACCGTGTCTCAAAAAGCAAAAAGGTATTCATTCTCCAGTACCATCAAACACCCTCACTGGTCAAAATCCTTCCTATTAGTTAAATACAGCAGAAACGATGCCCAAGGAATGTGGCACACTGGAAACTCAGGCAATAGTTGGAACTAGTGAGAAAGAACAGCTTTAACCTAGAATAGTTCTATGGAGAATAAGCATTCATTGTTCACCTAATCCCAAAGAGAATGTAATGGGTGGGGGAGACGGCTCAGTGATGAAGAAGACAAAATTGCTCTTGCAGAAGACCCAGATTCTGTTCTCAGCAGCTCACAAAGGCCTCTAATTCCAGCTCCAGGGGCAATGGATGCTTCTTGCCTCCTCATGTGCATGCACACACATATGTACATGCACACATGCACAATACTTTAAAATAATTTTTCAAAACATTTTAAAATGGAAATTTAACAAACAAAAGAAAAAAAAACCTAGAATCCTCCCTGTGGGCTTCCTCCCTAGTTACAATGGAGAAGACATCTTGGTCTCAGGGTTCTCCAGTCCTACTTCCTAGTGTCCTTGACTCAAGAGTGGGAGTCATAGGGATGTCACTGAGGTAGACAGCTGGCCTCACAGATTACGCACATCACCCCAAGCCTGTACTATCTTACAAACACCTCTGGATCCCAACCTCACCAACCCCATAGATGGTCACTGATGCCAGTTCACAGGAGGGATGAGGCTTGCCCTAGGCCATAGCCAAGAGTGGACAAGGGCCCAAACTCCAGCCTCTCCCTCTGCCAAGACCATAGGTGAAGCTGGTCAACATGGTGCACATCTGTAATCCCAACACGCAGGAGGTCACAAGTTCGAGGTCAGGTTCCAGCCCAGCCTGAGCTACAGAGACCTATCTCAAAAACAGACCACAGGAGAATTAGTGTGACCTGAACATGACAAAGGCCAGGCAGTGGTTCTTGGGTTAGGTCTGAGCCCCCATGAAATGTGATTTTTTGTTTTTTTTTTGTTTTTTTTTGTTTTTCGAGACAGGGTTTCTCCGTGTAGTTTTGGTGCCTGTCCTGGATCTCACTCTGTAGACCAGGCTGGACTCGAACTCACAGAGATCTGCCAGGCTCTGCCTCCCGAGTGCTGGGATTAAAGGCGTGCGCCACTGCCGCCTGGCTGTGATTTTTTTCCTACTCACTCATCTCCAGACTCTTAAATGCTAAAGCTCAGATGGGCTATTTGGACAATGAAGACCACTCTGCTAAACCCAGAATCCGCCACAACGTGGCAGCCCCATGCTGTTTCCATCTCTTGCAGGCTTTGGAGGCTCTCTAGTGCCTCCAGGTGGCATTGGCAAGCGTTGCTGTAGGCTTTGGAGGTTCTAGTGCCTCCTGGTGTCGAAGGAAGCATTGCTGTAGGCTTTGGACGCTCTCTGTGGGAAGCACACTGAAAGAAGTATTCTAGGAAGAAAGAAGCTGGGCCTAGGTGGCATTTGTGGCCACTTCAGTCATTCTCCAGGGCAGTCACAGGAAGCCAGTCTGGCTAGCACAGTCCTTGGAGTTCTCATCACCTGCTGAATCAGTGCAGGCTTCTCCCTACCTACAGCAACCCCTGGGAAAAACCCTCAGGATCCCTCCCCTGAGTCCCTGACGCCTCTGCCAGGCCTACTCCTTTCTGTGGAATGCAGACAGAAGAAAACTTCATGTCTGTGAAGGAGAGAGAGGGTCTGTCTGACTGCTGAGACACAACCTGTCTGTTACACCTCCTAAGTCAGATGACCTCAAGGGGGCGCTAAGGCTAGACACAAGGACAGGACCAGCAAGAGCACAAGCTACAGGGAATCTCCAGGCTATGGTGTCCTAGAGAGAAGGTGGACATTTCACCACAATATGGGTAGATCAATATCAGCAGCTTCCTTTGGGGGTACAGGGACTGAGAGAAGTGAGTCAGCCTCTTTGGGAGGTACCAAGGACCAACAGTGGACAGTCTTGAGAAGGGAACATGGAGGCTGGAAGCAGGGATGCAGGGATGGATAGATGAAGGCACAGAGAAGTAGATGCAGGGATGGAGAGGTGAAGGCATGAAGAGATAAGAGGGATACAGGAATAAGGGGATGGAGGGATGAAGGCACAGATGGGGTGGAGGATGGAGAAAGGTGCAGCAGTGGAAAGATAGAGGACAGAGAGATGAAGGACTGTCACATTCCTGTCACCCATAGCATCATTGCCTATTCTGGATCAAGGTTCCTCAGACGTCAGGTGTGACCAATACCGGGAAGCAGCTGTGGCTCTCGGGCCTCCACCACATCCGGAGATGACTTCCATGTCATCTTGTGCCAGGCACACTGCCTCAAGCCCAAGTCCTCACTTCTTCCCACAGCCCCCAACGCTGACATCTGTTACCCCAAAGGGCAAGTGCTAGTAAGTGAGCCATGGTATATCTGAACAGGTGCCCTGCATAGAGGAGCAGTATGCACATATTAACAAGGACAGAGTTCCAGGGCTGGAGGGCACAGAGGCAGAATGGCCTGTATGGGCCAGTGCCCCACACCTCATGGACTTACATGATATTAAGAGCATGTATTGGGCCATACCACTCTTGGGCATATACCCAAGGAATGCTCCATCATACCACAAAGATACATGCTCAACTATGTTCATAGCAGCACTATTCATAATAGCCAGAACCTGGAAACAACCTAGATGCCCGTCAACTGAAGAATGGATTAAGAAAATGTGGTACATATACACAATGGAGTACTACTCAGCAGAGAAAAACAATGACAGCATGAAATTTGCAGGCAAATGGATGGAACTAGAAAATATCATCCTGAGTGAGGTAACCCAGACCCAGAAGGACAAACATGGTATGTACTCACTCATAACTGGATACTAGATATAAAGCAAAGAACAATCAGACTGTAACCCACAGATCCAGGGAGGCTACATAGCAGGGGGGACCCTAGGATGACTGTGGCTTTAATTAAGTTTTGGTTTTACTCAATTACTGGGCAAGCCTCAGTGAAACATTTCACTATTAGGGTAAGAATTTATACTGTATCAAGCTAATAATAGAGAAAAAAATAGGAAGCTGGATGGATTAGCATGGAGGGAAATAAAGATGTTTGCAAACACTAAAAAAAAAAAAAAAAAAAAGAGCATGGATTGGGGGGCTACAGATGACTCCAGTGGCTGTTTTTCCAGAGGACCCAGGTTCCCAGCACCCACGCTAGGTGGCTCACAACATCTGTAGCTTCAGTCCCAGGGGCTCCAATGCCCTTCTGGCCTCTGCAGGCACTAGGCATACACATGGTGCAAACAGGCAAGCAAACATTCATACACATTAAAAAACAAACGAGAGCCTAGACTGTCCTAGCCACGTGTCCTGATGTGCACTTGACCTGCACCCATCTCCCCACCCCATGGCAACTTTGTTGGGTTTTGTTTTTGTTTTGAGGTCATCTCATATAATCCAGGCTGGCCTCAAGCTCACTGTATATGAAGGTGACTTTGAACTGATCTTCATGTCTCCTGCCGGGTCCCACACCCTGCCTATGTGACAAAAGAGATGGAACCCAGGGCTTTGTATGTGTTGAGTAAGCTCCATCTCACTGTACCCACTGAGCTCCATCTCCACACCTGTTCTTTCTTTTCCTGGAGACAGGCTCTCCCCATGGAGCCCAATCTAAACTCTTGGTACTCCTTCCTCAGCCTTCTGTTTGCTGGGATTACGGCTGTGTACTACCATACCCAATTTCCCCACAGCTTTCTCAGAAGTAGGACTATCAATCAGTTTAATAGATGGAGGCTTGGAGTGTCACTGCCCGAAGCTCCATGGTCAGTGAGGGTCATAACCAGGCTAATCCCCATGTCCAAGATTCTGGTGACATTCAGTGGGTACCAGTTGCACAGCAGAAGCACCGGGGTTAATGCAGCCTGCCCTGGCTTCCTTGATTGACAGCCCCTGCAGCCCCTCCCACACAGACAGACCTCAGAACAGTGGCCGCCAGAGGGGAGCAGCAGACCTCTCCTTTATTGCAAATACAAGAGTCCCAGGAGTACCTGGGAAGAGCTGGAACCAGGAGACATGGGGACAGGGCCTTCCCTAATGCAGACTGCCCTCCCCTTGTCCAGGGTGGGAGCCAGTCTGATTCTTGCCAACAAGGAGCCACTGAGCCCGGGGAGAGTTGAAAAGGAATCCCCGTTGGGAGAGCAGGCTTCTAGAACTGGGGTTGGAGGGTTGTCCTCTGTGACCCCTGACCTCAGAATAGCTGTGAGCCTGGGCCTTGTCCCCAGTGTCAAGGTCCCTAGAAATGTCCAGTAGAGGGCCAGGGGGCTGGGTGGACCAAAGACAAAATGACTCTGGCCCCTACCAGCACGGCCAGGGACTGGCTGGTCAGGAGGTCTTAGCCCCTCAGTAGCTAGCCTCTGCGGCTCAGTGCACTGAGGGGGCTTCCTCAATGGCCTGCTCCATCCGTAGGTACCAAGGCTGGATTCGTGAGTGTCGCATCAGGTCATCAAAAGCCTCCAGACCCTCCATCACTCGCAGCACACCATACACTGCCTAGGGAAGGATCAAGAACAGCCACTGCACTGGGGCCCTCGGGCACCGAGGCCTCAGACGGAGCAGCAGCCTGTTTGCTGCCAGCTGTGGAGGATCGGAGATCTCAGCACCTGGTCAGACCCAGGCTACCTGGTTACAGGGCTGCCCCAGGCCAGGGCTGAAAGCCAGGGCAGTGAGATGGCCAGGTAGAAGCCTGGAGCCCATGCACGCCACAACCGAGTCAGGAATCAGAGGGAGGGCTGAGGCCATGCCACTGCCATTCAGGCCCCTGTATCCGGCCCAGCCTGAAATCCCCCCTGCCCCCCCCCCCCCCCCGAGCCTTTCAGGTACAAGAACCATGAAAACTCCGTTTGTTTTCTCTCTGGCAACACACTCAGGGAAGAACACAGTCCCTCTGGGGAGCCGGGAGCTGTAGAGGGTATGCCTCGCCTGTGCTGTCCCTCCCCAAAGGCAGGCCACTCCATCTACCACCATCATACCCACCAGGTCAGCAAGGTTAGGCTTCTGACCCCCCATGAACGGCCGGTCCGTGCCCACGGCTGTCACCCACTTGTTGGCTGCCTCATAGAGGTCTGCACGTACGTCATCCTGCAGGTGGTGCCTGGGGATAGTCAGGAAGGTGGGTCAGGGAACTCCTTCCCCAGCCCACGGGAACACAGCTTCCTCTGCATAAAACAGAAAGGCTGGGTGACTGGGGTAGCCAGTGGGTGAGGGGATGGTACCTACATCACTGAGCACCTGCCCCCAGTGAGTGACCCTGACAAGGAGGCAGAAGTAGAGGGCACAGGACAGGGCCATGACTTCTGACCCCAAAGCCTGAGATAGGAACTGATCAGAAGTGCTGGGTCCCAGGACTGGCTCGTCTTCTCTAGGCCTGTTTCCCTTTCCTCCTGAAGGGTTTGATGCCCAGACTGTGGAACAGCTGACCCCCGATCCCACATGTGCATATACTTGCATAAGCCATCACCTGCTTTTGAGGCGCTTGCTGATGAGGTACATGGCAGCTGCACCCACATACTTGGCCATGGTGGCCTCCACAACCCCAAACTTTCCCTCACGGACAATGTAGTCGAAGGAAGCCAGGGCCTCCGCAGGTGTTCGGTACACATTGGGGGAGATGAGATGCACCAGCCAGTCATCTGCCCATTGCCGCCACTTCATCTCCTCCCTGCAGATACAGGACATCGAGGACCCCTGAGCCAGGGCTCTGCCCCACCACTCAGTCTCTCACAAGACTCCCCCAGAGCAGTGGTTCTCAATCTTCCTAACGCTATGCCCCTTTAATACAGTTCTCATGTTGTGCTGACCCAACCATAAATTATTTCATTGCTACTTCATATCTGTAGTTTTGCTACTATTACAAATCATAATATAAATATCTGATATGCAGGATGTTTGAGCCCCAAAGGGCTCACTACCCACAGGCTGAGAACCCACTGCACCAGAGCATGCAGCTTAACCTGGTCCTTATTACCACCCCACCCGTCCCGCAGCCACAGCTCCACTCACGTCCTGGCTTCCTTCCCGCCATACATCTGCTGGGCCTCCTTCTCATCCAGCATGAGCCAGTACTTGTTGCAGAACTCGGTCACCTCCTTGCCCTGGTCATTCATGGCCTTCATGGGTGGGTAATAGGTGATGACCTCTTCCAGGGGCTGCCTTCAGGGGAAGGCTAGAGCTTCAGCCTGACTCTGTCCTCCTACCCCCTTGGCCTACCAACCCAGACCATCCCAGCCTGACTCAGCCACTCAGGGACCCAGCCCTGGGCTGGAGCCATGATCAGCCTCACTTGCAGCAAAAGGGATTGGGTTAGAGATGAGAAACAGACAGAAGGAGGAAGGCAGGCCTCGAGGAGGGTACCCTTGGTCTCTTCTAGAAACATGTATAGCAGCCCCACTCTTAGACAAGGCCCTGCTGGGCCTCCCAGGAGCAACTTACCCTGAAACCAGGTAGGTCTTGAGGGCGCTGATGATGACTGAGGAGTCATTCAGCTGTTGCTGGAAGAGAAGAAACAACCGTCTTGTGTTGCTGGGGATGGAACCCAGGGCCTCGGCAGGAGGGACAAGCTCTGTGGAACTGAGCCACACCCCTTGCCCCAGAGGCTCTGGCTGGCAGTTGGCAGGATCAGGCCCCTTAAACAACAGCAGCGTCAAAGCCAACCAAACAACATTACAATGGCAGCACCTGAAGTATCTGGTCCTCAAAGCGGGGCACTGCTGATCCATCACTGCTCACCCCAATGCCCCGAGCTCACTGCTCCCCACCCTGTGCCCTCTTTCTGAGTAAGGGTGACCAAGTATGGCTACTGGGGACATATGACTGGGAGAGCCTTGGCATTTGACCCTAACCCACGACTCACTTGGCCTCTTGGCACTAAGGGCAGAGCAGGACACAGAGGCTTCATACAGGATACCAAGCCCAGAGCCAGGACTTTATCCTTCCTGTCCATACAGGCCAGGGCCTGGGCTGCTGTGGACTAATTGAGAAGCCAGCCCCAAGCCTCACATGGTAGTTTACATCTGTAATCCCTCCACATGGAAAGATGGCTAGTTCTAGGCCAGCCAGGGCTACAGAATAACACTCTGTCTCAAGAAAACAAACAAACAAACAAACCTCTCTTGAACTATGGTGCCATGCACACCTGCGCGCACACACTAAATAAGTAAATAAAAAATGTAATTTAAATTAAAAAAATGGGGGGTGGGGATAAGGTCTTATTACATAGCCCAGGCTAGCCTGAACTTACATTACAGAGATCTGGCTACTTCTGCCTCCCAAGATGCAGAGTAAAAGGTATGCACTACCATGCCTGCCACAGGCTTCTGTTGTCTTTCTTTCTTTCCTTTTTTTTTCCTCTGTGTAGCAGCCCTGGTTGTGGTTGTCCTAGAACTTGTGTAGACCAGGATGGCCTTGAACTCAGAGATCCGCCAGCCTCTGCTCTCTAATGTGCAACCGCGCCCAGCTGCCTTTTTTATGTTTCAAATTCCATTTTATTTCCTTTGTGAGTGACACAGCTTGCAGAAATTGTTCTCTCCTGAGTCAGGGTTGGCAGTAAACACCGTTACCCAAAGCCATCTCAGCCACCCTAAGTAAAAACTCTAATACATAAACAAACCGGCCACAGTGACGCATGCCTTTGATTCCAGCACCAGGGAGGCAGAGGCAGGTGGATCTCTGTGAGTTTATGACCACTGTGGTCTACACAGCTAGTTCCAGGACATCCAGGGCTACACAGTGAGACCCTGCCCCGAAACCAACTGTACAAATGAACAAACCCCACATCTGAGCACGGTGGAATGTCTATAATCCTAGCACTCAAGGGACAGAAGGATACTGAGTTCTAGGACAACTCAGGCTACATAACAAGATGCTATCCAAAACAAAAAAGGCCAGCCCACAGAGGTCAAAGTCATGAAGTCACAGGCGAGTGTGCTGGCTAGTCTTATGTCAACTGGATACATACATACATTTCAGTTATCTGAAAGGGGGAACCTCAATTGAGAAAATGGCTCCATAAGATCCAGCTGTAAGGCATCTTCTTAATTAGTGATTGATGGGGGAGGGCCCTGCCCATTGTGGATGATGCCATCCCTGGGCTGGTGGTCCTGGTTTTTTTTTTTTTTTTTGGTTTTTTGAGACAAGGTTTTTCTCTGTGTAGCTTTGGAGTCTGTCCTGGAACTCACTTTGTAGACCAGGATGGCCTCGAACTCACAGAGATCTGCCTGCCTCTGCCTCCCGAGTGCTGGGATTAAAGACATGTGCCACCACTGCCTGGTGGTCCTGGGTTTTATAAGAAAGCAGGCTGAGCAAGCCATGAGGAGCAGGCCAGTAAGCAGCTCCCCTCCATGGCCTCTGCATCAGCTCCTGCCTCCAGGTTCCTGCCCTCACTGCTTTTGATAATATGGAACTGTGAGTGAAATAAACCCTTTCCTCCTTGTGGAGGGGCCCCAAAATTGTTTGACCACACAGCTGCCATGACAGGCTTAGGGGCCTAGACACAGCTTCTGTGACAGGCTTACTGGCAGGCAACACCCAGATCCAGGAAAAGCCTTAAGCTGATACCACCCAGGGATCCACCCAGGGGTGAAGAAGTACCTGACATCCCAAACATTCCAACCATTAGATAAGGTGGCCAGATGTCCTTGAGTCTAGCACGTACCTGTTTTTTGTTTTACAGATACCCCTAGACAATTGTCAGCCAATCAGGGTCCTGGACCCTGGGAATCCCCTCACCCCAACCTCTGCTATGATAAAAACTATGCCCCACCTGAGCTCAGGGCTCTCTGCTCTCACCGCTGTGTCAGACAGACAGAGGGACCAAGCTCCAGAGCTTGAAATAAAGGCTCTTTGCTCTTACATGCGGGATTCAGTCTCCATGGTGGTCTTTTGGGGGACCCCACGATCTGGGCATGACACTCCCCAACTAGCTTTTTGGTCATGGTGTTTCACTGCAGCAATAGAAACAAACCCTGACTAAGACAGCCAATGAGCAGAAGAGCCACACCTCAGACCCAGACCACCCCAGCTGCAAACCCAGCCTGTTCCTCTGTAAGTGCATCCCCACCCTGCAGACTTGGCTAATGAGGGAAGAAAGGGCTCCACATTCACTTCAGTTTTGTTGTGATACATCCTCCTGTGTTGCCCACACTAGCATCACGGGCTCAGGAATCCATCAGAGCAGCCTTGATATCTTCTCCCTACTCTCAATGGAGATCCAGGGAGTCACAAGTTCTTTTAGATTTAGGGGGACTCCTAGACAGCCTGGGACAGAAATGAGGCATGGGATCCCCAAGGCTCACCAAGCTGTCTCCTTCCTGGGCCACCAGGATGGGCACCTTCCTGTAGGAGGAGAATTTGATCTCAGTCCTTCTGACAGGATTCACCTCCACTACCTGATAGGGCAGGGAGTGGAAGTCGAGGAAGGCACGGACTTTGCTGCAGAAGGGACATGTCTTGTACTGGTACAGGGTCAGCTGCAGGTGGCTGGATGGGGACAGCTGGGGAAGAGAAAAAAGACTGGTAACCCCTGCAGTCCAGAGCTCCATCCCCCGCCCTCCAAGCAAACCTTTCTCCACGAAGTCACCTTCTAAGGGGACCCTGAAAATGCAAGAATGAGGAAAAGCAGAGAGAATGGACAGAACTCAAGGGGGGCAAGGAGCTCAGGGAGTGTGTGCCCAGCTGCAAGTGCCCAGCTGGTACACCACAGGCAGGACTTAGCATCTGTGGAGGCATTAATCTTCCTCCTGTCCCAAAGGGGACACTACACAATCCCAGGGTGTGCCTCCCTCCAAGCGTCATTAGTCCTTAAGGTTCACCCCCATTCCTCCAGTCCTCTCTAGGTAAGCGGCAGAGCTGACCAAGCAGCTAGGTAGCGTTGGCCAGAGGTGAGGTCTACTTCGGATCTCCAAAAGTGGAGCGAAGCTGAATGCGGCTCCCTGCAGTAAAGCCTTCAGGCGTGCTTGCTCCAGTTGCAGCCCACTCCCCTCGATTTTCAAATGGAAATCGGGAGGACAGGGAAGAGACCAGCGAGCCACAAGGACTTCATTCTCTTTCCAGATCCTGCATCCAGGAAAAGGCCATGCATTTGGAAGGCAGGGTGGAGACTATGCAGCTCATGAGCTCTCCACAGGGCGGCCGAGCCACCGTAGGCTGAGGCACACCTCCAGTTCTAGGTCTAGAGTCAGGCTCACTCATTCCAGAAAGACTACCTGCGGCACCGCGCACGCCCTCAAAGCACAGTACAGACCACGACACGAGACACACACACAGCTCTAGATCATAGGCATCAGCACCAACGTCCTCGGACTCCTACGGCCAAGACACTCGCCCAAGGTCACGAGCGGGCGAAAGAGGCCACTCCTGACCCCGCGGCTTCTTAAAAGTCCTGAGTTCGGGGCTGATCCCCCTCCCCGTCTGCAGCCCGTGCCAACCAAGCGTTACCTGCGCAGCCGAGCGCTCGGCGCGGAGGTCCTGGGCGCGCAGGTGCCACCGCACGGTGTGGTACAGCCCCAGCGCGCCGCCCAGGGCCAGCGCCGCCGCCCCCAACAACCGCGGGCTCCCCTTGCCGACCGCGGGGCCCGGGCTTCCTGCCGCAGCCCTAGTGAAGCCCGCCCAGCTCTGCGCCGAGATTGGCGGCCAGGGTCGTGTGCGCGGCCCCTCCGCCAGGGCACACCGGCTCAAGCCCAGAATCCAAGCAACGCGCGCCGCCCGGGCCATGGTCGCTCTGCCGGCGCTGCGGGCGGGCGCGCGAAACCAAAACGACCAAGGCGCTAGGGTGCCTTAAAGGGACCAGACTCGGGGAGTGTTGCCGAGGGCGACGATGACGCCGATCAGGGACTAGGAGCTGTGCGGGCCTGGGAGTGCACGCCCGTCTGAGAGGCGGGTGAACACTCCAGGGGCTTTAGAAGCGGCTTGACGTCTCTGTCTTTTAGGAGTGCAGTGGTGACCTGTGATTTGCGGTCGGCTGTTGCCACATCGTGCATCTATCCGAAAGAGTTTCAGGGAAAACGCCGGTCTTCCGACCCACGCTCGCTCCGAAGGAGGTACGATGCTGTCTCCAGTGGGTGCCCTCCCGCAACGGTATACCTTCTGCTGTGACCCGAACCATAAACTTTTCTCAAACCCGGCGGGGGCCTTGGAAACCACGTGCCTCGGAAATGGCCCACGCTGAGGGGCCGGCTCGCCAACCCGAAGGCCTCCGAGGGTCGAGCGGGACCGAGTGAAGGTCTCAGGACGCCTCAGGCCTTTGCCGAGCTCGCTGGTTCCAAGCGAGTGCCAGATCTCCGCCGCTGGGCTTCTCCGCGGGCAGCCCCGGCAGGGCCCCGCCCCGAGGCCGAAAGAGGGCGGGGCTCTGTGAGGCGGGTCCCGGGTCCGACCGGGCTTCTACCCTCTTCCTCCACGTTTTCCTGGACCTGGAAGCGCCAGGGTCCACAATATCCAGCCGCAACTTGAGCAGGCTAGGCAAATGGAAAGGCCAAGTGGCCCAAGGTGCTTTGCTTTTCTGTGAATACCTAGCTGGGAAGAGAATAATGGACTTCAAAGGCACGGGACCCCGGCTCCAACCCCGCCTCTGGCTGGGGCAGTCGTCCCCGACAGAAGGGCATCCCGGAACAAGTCCCTGGAAACTGCATAGGGAACTAGTTCCCCGTTTTGTTTTACTGTTGGGGAGAACGAGGCAGCTTCGAGGATAGTCGCCCATATTGCATCCCAGCGACTTCTTTAGCCCCTGAAGGACAACTTAGGAAAGCTGGAGGGGAGTTTGGTGGGTTTGATTGAAGAGTAGGTACTGAAACCTGCCCACTACCACCAACACTCTCCGCCTCTTTGGTGCTACTGTCCTGGTGTGACATGTTTGCAGCGCCAATGCAGGAGGGCTGGAGAACCAACGACCTTAGGCTGCCTTGTTACTTTGAGGAACCCCAGTTTGCCCACCTGTGATACAAGAGTTAATGACTGGCATCTCCTGCAAACCCTGCCACCCACCACACTCTAACTTGTTTCGGAATGAGAGCCTTCATGTTAAATGGGAGCCTTTAATCCCAGCACTCAGGAGGCTGAGCTAGGTATGCGCTAAGAGGCCAGCCTGCCTGGTCTACATAGCGAGCTTCAGGCTAGCCAAGGCTACATAGTGAGAACCTGTCTCCTCCTCATCATCATCATCATCATGAATAAATAAACTGAGAGATGAATGGGGAGAGGCTGATTCCTGGGAGGCCCCAACTTTTTGCCTAATGGGCAGCTGTGCCATCTTAGCATAACATGAGCCAGCCTTTGCCAAGGAAACCCAGTGCGGGGTCGGCGCTCTCTGTGGAGACACTTGGCAGAGTTCTTTTCCTCTCATTGTCCAGTTCTCGTCTTGGCATACCACCCGTGGCACCTCTGGCTACAGACCTTCAAGCTGTAAGAAGCACAGGGCACAGCCCTGCTCTATGCCCAGAGGACCTCAGGCTGAGGAACCTCACTCATTCAACCAAATGGAGCCTTAGAAGCCCCAGACTGATGACATTTCAGGGCACAGTATGGAAAGGGAGTCCTCGGCCTAGGCTGAGAGGTCCTCTTCCTGTCCTCCTCTAGGCCCCAAACGATCTACACCCTTTCTCGCTGGCCTTTCGCTGATGTTTGGCCCTCGTGTGCCTCATCCGAGGACTCTGCAAATAAGCACAGCCCCTTCCCTCATGGTCAGGTGAAACCCATCCCAGATGTGGTTTGGATGTCTGTGTCCCTCCAAAGTTCATAAGCTGAAGCTCAAGACCGGTGTAGTCATAATAACAATCAAGTCGTTTAGGGGTAGTTAACCAGCTTCCAGGAGTGGGTTAGTACTTTTACCAAAGGGCCCAGGGAACAAGCTGGACTGTTCTGTCCTACTCCGTCTTCTTCCCATGCGCAGGGACACTGGGAGGGTGCCGCTGTAAGGGACTGGCCACACACCAAACCTGTTGGCTAGCTTGACCTTGAACTTTCCAGCCTCCAGAGCTGAAAGAAATCTCTTGTCATTTATCCAGCTCTCCATTCGTCCATCTGTGCCATCTTGTTAGGGTAGCAGGAATGAGGAAGCCATGGCTTCAGGCCAGCCCCGTCCTGATTCCAGGCCTGGATTTGCATCTGCCTTTTCCATGTTTGGATCAGTGCTCAGAGCCTACCACCCACCTCAACATAGGCATGCCAAAGTGCCACCCTTCTTCCTGGCCACTTTCTCATCTTCTGCCTCTGCCTTGGTGGCCAAGTAGGAGCCCAGGAGTCCTGCCACTCACTCTACTCTCTCCACCCCCACTCTTTGTGCTTCCTGAGCTTAGCACCCTAAGATTCCATAGTGCTTAACTGAATTCCTCCCACACAGAACCTACTCAACATCTGATTTGCTAAAGAATTAGGCTGACTGAAAGAAGCCAAGCTATATTATCACTCAAGAGGCAGAGACAAATGAATCTGTGAATTTGGGTCTAGCCTGGGCTACATAGTTCCAGGGCAGCCAAGGCTACATAGTGAGCCCCTACCTAAAAAAAAAAAAAAAAAGAAAGAAACATTTCACAATTAAGATGGGAATACATACTGTATCAAGCTGGTAATAGAAAGGTGGATAAATTGATTAATTTGAAAAAGTGAAAAATGAAAAAAATAAAAAATAAAAGAAAAATTTGAATTGTTTAAAAAGGAGCCAAACAAACATATTTTGCTGGAGTAAAAAAAGGGGGAACTGGGGACTCATCATTCCTCTCCACGTTCTATTCTTTCCCTTGTTTTATATATTTTAAAATTTTTTACCATGGATTCTGCTGGAGTATCCACTGCAGATAAGCACTGGAGGGCTCCTGTTGCAAATCACCCTCTGGAGCGATGGAAGGATCTTTCTACTAGCACTTGGAGGAGACCCGATCTGGTGTTGGTGTGGGCCTGGGGTTCTGTTTATGTCTTTCCTCAGGACAATGAGGTTCCTCTTTGGATTCCTGAGCACTGTGTGTGCCCTGTGGCTGCTGCTGAAGCCCAACAAGACAGAGACCTATTGGGCCTTAATGAAAAACTCTCCCCTTCTGATGCCAATGGGGATTGAGAGCCCAATATGGCCAGCTTTGGCAAGCATTAACATAAGCCTAGGAACTGTAGCCATGAGGTTGGATTCTCCAGAAGAACTGCCAGCCTAAGTCGTGCTGGGATCAAGAAAAATGGGCCTTGGAGGTTCGTGTTCCTGGAGTTGTATCCATGCCAGTGGATGCCCACACGCTCCAGAAGAGAATTTGACATTGCTGCTGCCGTTGTTGCTGTTATAGCAGTGGCGGCCACCACTCCTACTGTTTCTGGGATTAACATTTCATAATTGCTTACTACAGCTAGCACAGTGGAGACCCTGGCAGCAAAAGTAGCTACCACAGTTAGTTAATCTTTCATTCTATTGGGCATGATAAATTTGACTCAATAGTTATATACATTGGGATTGGCTTTGAAAATTATAAATTTATAAACTCAAATTCCATTTGTTTTTGGGATACCATCTTACAAGGACTCCAATTTGCAGTAAGGCTCGTTAAGGAAGGGAATGGCTCAGTTTCCTTTAGCCTCCTGGCTATGGGTGGGTTGGGACTTCTGTTGGTCTTTTCTGTGTTGAACACACAGATTGCAAGCCCAGTGCCACATTGAGATCTTTGGCAGCAGTTAACTCTGTGACTCACACACGATTGAGCCTGTATGATAATGAGTATTCAGAGATGGGTAATACCTGGGGGGCGCTCACCAACCTAAGACAGAGCGCCTGTGTGTGGCCTGAGCAGGCGTTTCCATGACGGGTAAGGTGACCGGCTGACGTCCCACGCAACCGATGTCAGAAGCTCATTTTTTAGTAAAAGGGGGACCTGTAGGGCCCTGGCCCCCATTTTAGGTAACTGGTGCCTTGCTTGCTGACCTTGACCTTGATATCCTCCCTATGCTAATTCCCTGCCGGGTTCCACCCTCCTGAATGCTTAAGGGAAGTTCCTTGTCTCTGTATCCTGCATAATGGGCATTAACAGCTTAGATGCAAGATTGTAAAACATCAGTAGTGAACTTCTGCCCTCCGGGGTTCCCCCACTGTGCTGTAAGCCTGTATTTAAGACCTCCTCCCTCCTTCAATAAACGGCATTCGGCATAAAAAAAAAATTAAAAAGAAAGAAAGAAAGAAAGAAACTGCAAAAAAAGAAAAGAAAAAGAAAATAAAGAAACCAGGCTATAAAGATTATTTACTAATTTACTACATGCTTCCATTTGGTTAAAGATCTCTCTCTCTCTCTCTCTCTCTCTCTCTCTATATATATATATATATATATATATATATATATATATATATATATATATATATATATATATATAAAGGTTTTTCGAGACAGGGTTTCTCTGTGTAACTTTGCGCCTTTCCTGGAACTTGCTTTGTAGACCAGGCTGGCCTCGAACTCACAGAGATAAGATCTATATATTTTTATTTTATGTCTGTGGGTGGTTTTGCTGGCATGAAGGCTGTGTACCATGTACATGCAGTACCTGAAGAGGCCAGAAGAGGGAATCTGATTCCCTGAAACTGAATTACCAGCAATTAGCCCCCATGCTGGTGCTAGGAATCAAATCTGGGTCCTCTGCAAGAGTAGCAAGTGTTCTTAGCTGCTGAGCCACCTCTCCAGCCCTTATTTTTATTTTTGAGAAAGGATTTCTCTGTGTAGCTTTGCTAGTCTTTCCTGGAACTCACTTTGTAAATCAGGCTGGCCTCGAACTCACAGAGATTCACCTGCCTCTGCCTCCCAAGTGCTGGGATTAAAGGTGTGCACTACCACCGCCTGGCACCTTGTTTTTATTTTAATCATATGTATATGTGTGTGCCTGAGTGTGTTTATGTGTAACATACACCTGCAGGTGCCTGAGGAGGCCAGAAAGAGCCCATCAGATCTCTCGGAACTAATTCACAGACAGTTGTGAGCTGCCGTGAGGGTTCTGGGAACCAAACCCAGTCCTCTGCAAGAGCGGCCAGTTCTCCTAACCATCTTACAGCCATCTCTCTGGCCTTGTTTTTATTTTGTTTTTGACAGTCTCACTTTGTAGCCGGGGCTGGCCTGCTTGTTTCAGCCTCCCAAGGCTAGACTTGCAGGCTCTCTGAAGCCTTTCAAATATGCACAGTTAAGGCTAAAAATGTCCCTATGGATTGTGAGTCCCACGGGTCCTTTGGAATCTCTTGCTCCTTAGGTTGGTGTGCCCAGGGGAGGAAGGGCCCCTCAAAGTGCAGTCTGCTGTTCAGTATGGACAGCTTTTCAAATGGGTCCTCCTCAAGGGCCGCTGGCCCACGAGATGGACACCCCAACCTAACCAAGGGCCGCTGTCTGACTCCGGCCTACAACCCTAAGGCACAAGAGGACTATAGAGGTAGGTAGGTAGGGAAGGACCTCCTCCGACCCACCCCGGCTCCTGGGAGGGACAGTTTGCAGCTCGAGGAACAGCAACCCAGGGGAGGAATGGAAGGCTCCTCAGAGCCCCACATAGCAGGCAAAGCCCTCTGGGTGGCTGATGTGCTCAGCACACTCTGTATAGGGGGGGACATGACATGCACTTGAGAGGAGACTGACTTGTGACCTTGGAGCTGTGGGCTAGAGTCAGACAGTTACTCGGGAAGAGTCCAAAGCAGCCCTTGGGAGTTGGCAGCTCGGCCCTGGTCCCCACGGTGCTCTCTGCCTCCGACTGCCTCGCATGGCCTCCAACCCTCGCCCTAGCTGCTCGACCTCTGCAGCCACACCCTCCCTGCCACGATGGACGATGGACACAGTGAGCCTTCTTTTCCTTAAGCTGTCAGATATTTTGGTGAGAGAAATGAAATGTAGGCCGGGCGGTGGGAGCGCCCACCTTTAATCCCAGCACTCGAGAGGCAGAGGCAGGCGGATCTCTGTGAGTTCGAGGCCAGCCTGGTCTACAGAGTGAGTTCCAGGACAGGCACCAAAGCTACACAGAGAAACCCTGTCTCAAAAAACCAAAAAAAAAAAAAAAAAAAAAAAAAAAAAAAAAAAAAAAAAAGAAGTGTGCCAGCACTGCCCGGCTTCTCCTTTTTTTTTTTTTTTTGGTTTTTCAAGACAGGGTTTCTCTGTGTAGCTTTGCGCCTTTCCTGGAACTCATTTGGTAGCCCAGGCTGGCCTCGAACTCACAGAGATCCGCCTGCCTCTGCCTCCCGAATGCTGGGATTAAAGGCGTGCGCCACCACCACCCGGCTGGCTTCTTTTTTTAAAAGAAAGGGCCTCATACTATAATCCACAGTGTTCGAATTTCCCGTGCAGCCCAGGTTGACCTCCAACTCATGGCAATCCTCCTGCCTCAGTCCACCAAATGCTGAGATTAAAAGTGCGAACTACTAACTCGTGGCTACAGTGTGGATTATTATTTTATTTTATTTGTGTTTGTGTAAGAATGTGTGTGTGTTTGAGAGAGAGGGGTTAGTGTAAAAATGTCAGCATATGCACACTTGCGGATGTCAGGGACAACCTGAGGTCAGTCCTCACCTACCACCTTGTTTGAGAAGTTCTCTTCTTTGTTGTGCATGCAGGGCACTGGCCCATGAGCTCCTGACGTAACCTCTCTCCAGCTCCCGTCTCAGCATGGGAACACTGCAGGCGATGGTAGCACACTGACTCTGCTGTGGCTTCTAGGGATCTGGACTTGGATCTCCATAATTACACAGCCAGAGCTCCGCTCACTGAGCTGTCTCCGTAGACCCTGTGCACGGTGCTTCTCTGATTTTGGACTTCTGGATTTTGGAAGATGTGATTCTAAGACAACAAATGTGGAAATTGCTGTAATCTGATGGTTTGGGAAACTCTCAGTCTTTCCCAATCGCAGAAGCCATTGGCAGGAAAGACACTGTTAGTAAAGTTTGCTCTTGAGAGAAGGCCGAGTGTGGCTAGCATTAGACCTGTGGATGAAGAACGAGGTGGGCCAGCACGGGAGGCCATAAGAAGTGAGGGGGAAGTGGACTTAATCTACGGAACCCAGAGTATGGGGGAGGTAGCATGGAACAGGAGACCCATTGGTGTCTGGAGGGGGACCTGGGATGAGGTAGAAACCAAGGAGCCATGGGCTGCCTCTGGCTGACTGAGGCTGAGCTCCTCTAGAAGGGCACCTGGGGCTGTAGTCTCCCGCCCCAAAGCCTGAGGGACTCTGGGTCCTGTGTACTCTGTCCATCACACCAATACTGAAAGTTACACCCTGAGAGGAGTTCCGAAAGCCATGGGAGATGGTAGTCACTCTGGCCTGAGCCCTGTCCCCAGGAACTGACTAGTCACTGCACTCTCCTGGTACGGCTTCCTCAGAAGTCTCCAAGAAGGACAGTAGGCAGGCCAAGGCCAGGATTCAGTGGCCCTTGTTAGCATGGCTCTTCCCTGGTCCTCGTGCTAACTCTCCTGTCCATCACCCATCTCCACTGGCTCAGGTCAGCCCCGTCCCCTTGTAAAGGCCGACACGCTGGCCCTGTGGAGCCTGCCCCGTCCTCGCTGTCTGTCACAGCCTCACCCATCCCTCTTACTGAAACCACTGGGATGAATGGGGTGGGACGGAATGGTGTTGCTTGTCTCAGAGAACCCAAGAGTCTCCCAGGAAGGGTGCCGTGGCCCTGGAGTTGGAGACATGCTTTCAGACACCTGGTGTAACCATTCCAGAACCACTCTCCTGCCTCCTGGCTGTGCACTGTCCTCACTTGTCCTTTCAGGGCACAAGAAAGAAGCAGCCTTTTAGGAGGAGCAGCCTGTCCTCTCACAGAAGCTGCCTCTGATGGTGTCCATCCGAGGTCCCGTCCAGCTAAGGCCCGGGAAGCCGGGAACTGGAGCAAGAGGCCAAGGAGTGGCTGCCCTGGATATGCCCTTTTCTTGTGCAACTTGGGGGTGCCAGGGGCAGGTGTCCTGTCTAGTACCAGCATCATGCCAGGCACAATTACCCTGCTCAGTTGAGCCCTGCAGCCACCCACTGCCTCTTGGATACCTGGTCCTGCAGCAGACCCTACCCAGAGCTGTGGCCTCCAGTCCCCTGCACCTGTGGTCATGTTGACTCTGTCACCTGCAAAGGCATCCATGCTCTGGAACAAAGGACATGGGGACAGAGGGGCAGGCTCACAAGGCCCCGCCCCTCCCTAATGGTTGCTGAGATCTTTCTTTTTTTCTTTTTCTTTTCTTTTCTTTTTCTTTTCTTTTTTTTAAAGACAGGGTCTCGCTATATAGTCCAGGCTGGCCCCAATTACTGGGTTTAAATGTGTGCACTATTACACCCAGATTAAGAGATATTTTCTTGCCAGGTGGTGGTGCACACCTTTAATCCCAGCACTCAGGAGGCAGAGGCAGGTGGATCTCTGTGAGTTCAAGGCCAGCCTGCTCTACAGAGTGAGTTCTAGGACAGCCAGGGCTGCACAGAGAAACCCTGTCTCAAAACAAAAAAACAAAAACAAAAAAAAAAAAAACCAAAAAATCAGAGAGAGAGAGAGGGATTTTCTTCAGTTGTGTGACCACTGGAAATTGATCAGGCTCCTGTAAAAACCCTTCACCCGTTCACTGTGGTCCTATAAGCAACCCTATGAAACTCATTAGGTCACACACACAAAAACAACCACCAAACAAACATGAATGTTAGTAGGGAGACTCGTCAGGAAGAGGAGACCAGCAGGGGTAGGAAGGTGTCACGAGAGGAGAGGGTAATGGTGATTAGGTGAATATGATCAAAATACCTTATATACATGAAACCCATCATTGCGTATAATTAAAATATATGCTAAGAGAAACACTTCAGAGCCAGGGGTGACCCTGGACACAGACCTCGAGCAGCAAGGCCTGCTACTCCCTATCTGTCAGACCCCTCCTCAGGCGGGGGGGGGGGGGGGGGTGTCAGCCGGTGGGTTCACAGGGAATGTGGGGAGGGGCTGCCTTTAAGAGCTTTTCCAAAGCAGGATCCTGTGATGTGGAAGGGGCAGGGACCAGGAGACCCTCTGGGTCCCTGGAGCACCTTGGTATGAAACACTCTGGAAACAGAGACTCAAGTCAAGGCCCTGGAGAAGTGAACATCTCCTTCTGGACACCCCTTCCCTGGTGGGTGACTGGGAGCAGAGGCCACTGGACCCATCTGTGGACATCAAGATTTCCAGGGACTGTGCCTGGGCCACAGGGGCCTATTTATTTGTCTATTATTTATTTAGCAGAACTGAGGATGGAGCCCAGGGCCCTGGGCACACTAGGCAAGTGCGCTACCCACTGACTGGATCCCTAAGCCCTCTCCAGGCTCTCTTGCCTCAGGGCCTCCCAGGCAGCCCTGGCTCTGAGAAGCTGACTTGGTAGTCCTGCACTCTTCAAGCAGGTCTATGGTGTAGGCTGGAGGGCTGGATTGTGTTAGCTCTATTCCCTCATGGCCAGGTTCACCAGCTTCTGGACACCAGTCACGGTGTCGGACTGGATCCCTGAGATACAACAATCTAGGAACATCTCAAGTGGATTAGACTTGAGGTTTTGGAGCAGTTAGAGTTCTCTGGGCTTATGACCACAGAAGACCCAAGTATGAACCACACATGATGGTGCATGCCTTGCTAGGCTAGGGCAGGGGGGATGGTTTACGAGTTTGAAGCTAGTCTGGGCTACCTACCAAATTTAGTGTCAGCCTAAATCACACATTGAGACCTGGTACCAAACTAAATAAATAAAAGAGTCAGATGTGAGGCTAGTGATGCATGCCAGCACTCCAGTGGTAAAGGGGAAAGGAAAAAGGAAAAGACAGACTGGATGAGAGGCGGAGGCAGGAGGATGGGAAGTTCAAAGTCACCTTTGGCTACATAGGGAATTTGGGCCAGCCTGGGCTGTACAGGATCCTGTTTCAGAGAAAGGGGGTCAGGGAGGCCTAGCAGAGTCCTGGGGGAAGAGTACCCACACCAGGAATCAAGAGACAGGCAGGCCTTGGTTGTGGGTCTTGTACCTGGAACAGCCAGCCTTTGAAGCTGTCCCAGGGTCCTGAGCTAGGCCACCTCCCCTTCACTCTAACTCTGACCTATTGTTTTGCAGACCCGGAACTGTGGCCCAGTTCATACTCTAGAGTCCCACTGGTCACTCAGCCCTCGATTTTCAGAGCCTAGAATATTCTACCTGCCCAGCTCCTCTGAGACTCTGGGATCTGTCTTTCCTGACTGAAAATTCTTGGGGGCTCTGCCCACACCAGTCTTCCTCACACCCATTCGTCACCAAAGACTCGGGGTTACCTTTTATTTATATATTAGTTTGTTTTAAAGCAAAGGTCTTTTTTTGTTAGTTTGTTTGTTTTTTTCGAGACAGGGTTTCTCTGTGGTGTTTTGGTGCCTGTCCTGGATCTCGCTTTGTAGACCAGGCTGGCCTCGAACTCACAGAGATCCTCCTACCTCTGCCTCCCGAGTGCTGGGATTAAAGGCATGCGTCACCACCGCCCGGCCAAGCAAGGTCTTGAAATGTAGCCTTGGCTCGCCTCAAACTCCCTTGTAGACCAGGCTGGCTCAGCTTTGCACTCACAGAGATCCCCCTGCCTCTGCCCCCAAGTGCTGGGATTAAAGGTGTAAGCCACCACATCTGGCTTTCAAGGATACCTTTTAAACTAAAATGTTTAGTAAATTGAAAAGTTGTTTTTCGTGCTGTGGGAGATAGAACCTGGGGCCTCCCATGTACTCGGCAAATCTTCCACCACTGAGCTATATCCCCAGCTTATGGATACCTTTTAAGGTCACAAAGGTAGAGGGGTGGATCCCCTAGGGCTGAGACTGAAGGGGCTGGAAGGGTGGGGAGGCCACTGGTACCTCAAGAGCAACAGGATCTGATGGCCACACAGTCCCCACAGCTTGGCTCAACTTCCCTTCTGCTCTTTCACCATCCAGGGACCTGAGGGGACAGATTCTAGTGGTGTAGTCTCTCTGGCATGGGGTCAGGGGTGAGGCTGCATCCTACATACCTGTTTAGGATCCCCTCCCAGGTCCGTCCCTTCCCTCAGGGCTAACCGCCAGAGAGTTCAGGGTTGGGGTGGGAGGCCAGGAGCAGCAAGTAGGTGGATCAGTGAGCCCGATCAGTCCAGTGCAGGGCCAGGAGACTTCAGCCTTAGGTCAGATGTCCAGGTGCAGCCCGTAAGTGAACCATCATCTCAGGGGAGACACAGGCTAGCACCTGAGATCTGCTTTAAGGCTGCTGGCCAGTCCTCCAGGGAGGAAATGGCTTCCCTTAAGGACTAGGCTCAAATCAGCTCAGGAGGGGCTGAGACCCCTGACCCGGGCCACTAAGTTCCCCTGCTTAGAGGGATCTTCTCACTGACTTTTCAAGGGCAATCCTGCCCTTTCAACCAAAGTAACTGGAGTACGCAGGGCAGTGTGCGGTCATCCCTCCCCACCACACCTACTTTTCCCAAGTTTGCCTGGCACTGTGGTTGAAAGCAGCCACATCTAAGGACGCATGACCTAGGACAGGGGCTACCCCTGAGAGTTCAGGTGCTCCCCTGTCAGCTCCTGTAAATGGCAGCGGGGTCATGACACTCCCAGGCCAGTCTTTTGGACACCTCACACCCTGTGCCAAGGCCAAGCTCGGTGGCTCAGAACAGGATGTCCCATTCTTCCCTGTCTAGAGTGTTCACTCTCAGCTGCCCCACCCTTCCCCAAACAAGGAAGCTGCACAGGATCGGGCGGAGCGGGACGTTTTTGGTGTTCAGCAGGTGTGGGTGGGCGGGGCCTTCACCACACACACCATCTTGATTTTCTGATGAGCTAGGGGCTGATGGGGGGCAGGAGATGGTCCAGATCTGAGTTGTTGACCTAGATGAAGGGGTACAGACAGTGCCCTCATGCCTGCCAGACTCCAGAGCTCTGCCAACGTCCCTCCTGTCCCCTCCCCTGTAGCCCTTCCTGTCACTCAACCTTGTGCAACCCTGACCTGGGGGAGAAAGGGACAGAAATCTTGCCAAGTATTTCAGCAGGACATGCTGGCAATTGCCTCACACTTCCTGGACTTGGTAAAGAATGGACCCCCCCACAGCACGAGGGCTGGCAGCCAGGTGGCCCATAAAGAGTCTCCCTGGGGAGTCCTCCTCATTCTCTTCCTCCTCCTCCTCCCTACTGGACCCAGTCCAGTCACTGCTGAAACCATGGCCCTGGGTGTCCTGTGTCTAGCACTTACCCTGCTTGGGGTCCTGCAGAGCCAGGCCCAGGACTCGACTGAGAACTTGATCCCCGCCCCATCTCTGCTCAAGGTCCCCCTGCAGCCAGGCTTCCAGAAGGACCAGGTAGGAACCTGGAAGGGCAGCTGCAGGAGGGAGTGGGGGAAACGGGGAGCAGATGAGAGAAGCCAAAGACTTCATGGGCAGGCGGCACTGGGGAGGGTGGAGGGAATTCTGGGAGTCCAGGGTTCGGGTTTCACTCACCCTGCATCCCAGTGGACGCTCTACCTCACTCTGCTCTGACAGTTACTCTGACAGAGCTTCACAGGACTAGACCCCCTCTCCCGTAATCGCCACTGTCCGTGTAAGGTAGGAATCTCTTCAGTCACTCTGCATTGAGGAGGGAACTGAAGTCCAACAGGCCCCTGCCCAGCACCACCCCACCCTGCCAACGCAGGGCTAACTCCACCTAGGGTCTTATCTAGCCTTGGAGGAGTCTGACTCCTGCCAGTATCTGTAGACAGACCAAGCCTGAGGCCCTGCTGCCCTCCAGCTGGGGTGCCTGGAGGTACCAACAAGGCCAGCGCAGGAGGAGCAGCCTGTGAGGCCATCCCTGGCTCCGTCTGGCATTAGCCCCTTGCAGTTTCAGGGGAGGTGGTATGTTGTGGGCCTGGCAGGCAATGCGGTCCAGAAGGAAGAAGAAGGACGCTTTACGATGTACAGCACCACCTATGATCTGCAAGAGGACAACAGCTACAATGTCACTTCCATCCTGCTCAGGTGAGCCCTGTCACCCCGCATCACAGCCAAGGACTTGATCCATTTCTTGCTCTTTCCTCCCCTCCATTCCTGTCTTCTGCCAAGTGAGGATGGACACACAATCCATAGTAAACAAGGGGGAGAGGGGCTGGGGAGAGGGCCCAGTCCACAGAGCACATGCCATGTCAGCAGAGATTCTGAGTTCCAGCCCCCTGAACCAGCATAAAGAAGCTGGGTGTGGCATCCCAGCCCTAGGGGGTGTGGGGGTGTGGTGTGGCATGGGGGGGAGAGCATGGGGAGCGGGGTGTCGGGTGGAACTAGGATCCCTAGGACTCCCTGGGTAGGCATTCTAATCCAATCAGTGAGCTGCAGGTTCGGTGAGAGAGAGAGACCTTGTCTCAAAAATAAGGTGGAGAGAGGGTGGGGTTGGGGAGATGGTCCAGTGGTTAAGAGCACTGGCTGCTCTTCCAGAAGACCGGAGTTTGATTCCCAGCACCCACATGGCAGCTCACAACTGACTGTGACTCCAGTTCTAAGGGATTCCTCTTTTTTGTTTTGTTTTGGTTTGGATTTTTTCGAGACACGGTTTGTAGCTAGCGTTTTCCTGCCTGGCCCACAGTCAGGGCAAATCTCTCTCACCTGCCAGTCCCACAGCCTCTCAGACCCGACCAAGTAAACACAGAGACTTATATTGGTTACAAACTGTATGGCCGTGGCAGGCTTCTTGCTAACTGTTCTTACAGCTTAAATTAATCCATTTCCATTAATCTATACCTTGCCACGTGGCATGTGGCTTACTGGCATCTTCACATGCTGTTTGTCATCGTGGGGGCTGGCAGTGTCTGACTCAGCCTTCCACTTCCCAGCTTTATTCTCCTCCTTGTCCCGCCTACACTTCCTGCCTGGCCACTGGCCAATCAGTGATTTATTTATTGACCAATCAGCAACACGCTTGACATACAGATCATCCCACAGCAATGGTTTTTCTGCGTAACCCTGGCTGTCCTTCCTGGAACTCACTTGGTAGCCCAGGCTGGCTTGAACTCACAGAGATCCACCTGCTTCTGCCTCCCAAGTGCTGGGATTAAAGGCATGTGCCACCACTGCTGGGCCTACATCCTCTTCTGTCCCCACAGGCACCTGTACACGAACGTCGCACAGACATGCTGACAAAACACCCATAATTACCATGACATAACTGCACCAAACCCAAGGCTGTGAACTTGCAAGGCAAGCACTCTGCCACTGAGCTAAATCCCTAATCCCAACAACAGCTTTTTTATTGTTTTTCGATACCGGGTTTCTCCGTGTAGTTTTGGTGCCTGTCCGGGATCTTGCTCTGTAGACCAGGCTGGCCTCAAACTCACAGAGATCTGCCTGGCTCTGCCTCCTGAGTGCTGGGATTAAAGGTGTGCGCCACCACCGCCCGGCCCAACAATAATTTTTTAATTAAAAAAATAAGGTGGAGAATGATGGAGATAGATACCAGATATTGCTCTCAGGCCTCCATACGCACACACAGACATGTGAACGCATACACAGACACACATCAAAAAGAAAGAATAGGAGAGAGGAGGGACATTGAGTAGCCTACCTGTGGCCTTTATCCAGGGCCTCCAGGGAGGTGGCTTTAGAGGAGCCACTATGCCTCAGAAGGAGCTGGTGAGCCCCTGTGTCAGATGCTGTACCTTCAAGATGCAGTAAGCCATTGGCACAGCCACCTGAGCAAGGATTGATGGGCAACTAGGAGTGAACCAGCCCCCAGGGCACCTCGCCCTATGCTAGGGCTTGATCTGGGGCTCCTACAAGGACAGTCTTGGCTCAGCTGGAGCCAGGGAGAATGGGGGAGGGTGCCGCCGGAGTGGGAAGAACAGGGAAGTCAGGCGGTCTGTCGGTCTGTCGGGGAGATGATGGTGGTGGAGCCAGGGCTTGGAGAGGGCAGCCGGGGCTCACCAGCTGCACTCTGATTCTGACTCTGGCAGCTGGGTAGGCTGGAGCTGGAGTAAAGTATTCGAGAGCAAAGGGTAGATGAAGATTTGGGGAGCGCAGCTCTGGGGGATGGTATTGAGTGGGACTTGAGGAAAAGCTATATTTGGCCTAAGGGCTAGGAGTGTAGTGCTCAGCTTGGAGCAGGCTGGCAGCTCAGAAAAAGCTGCCTTAACTGCCAAGGGAGGTGGCAGAGAGGAGGCAGGGAAAAGAGTGGGGATCCTTGCCTAGAGCCTGGATGTGTGTGTGTGGGAGGCCACCCAGGAAAGGCACCGGGAGGAGGGACTGTGTGTGCTGGGGAAGGGTCTCAGCAGGGTCAGGCAGGGCACACTCAGAGGGGGAAGGCTCAGGTGCATCTAAGATGGGTGGGTGGGGCCTCCCGCCAGGTTTGGGGACAGGCTATTATCAGTTAGATGGACACAGGGGTGGGGAACACCAGAATTCTAGCCCCACCTGTCCCAATCCAAGGAGCATTCCAGGCTGTATCATATCCTTGCTCACTCCCATCTCTCCCACAGGGACCAGCGCTGTGACTACTGGATCAGAACTTTTGTTCCAAGCTCCAGGGCTGGCCGGTTCACCCTGGGAAACATTCGCAGTGAGTCCCAAATGGAGTGGGGCCCTTGTCCCTCCACCCAGACCTTCTTATGGGGAGAACATTATGAAAGTTGGGGAGAAAGTGCATATGCCCTCTTCCTCTCCACCAGGGCAGAACTTATCCTTGTCCTTCACACCTGCAGGTTATCCTAAGGTACGGAGCTACAATGTACAAGTGGCCGCTACCGACTACGACCAGTTTGCCATGGTATTTTTCAAGAAGATTTCTGGAAGAAAGCAGTACTTCAAAATCACCCTTTATGGTGAGTTCTTGGCTGACTCTTAGGGACTCACCTCAAGGTTGGAATCCCAAGGTCTCAGCCCAGGGAGCGGTCTTTCTGCAGACCTCCACGGAAAACAAGTCTGAGACCTCATTCACTAGTTGAGTGACACTGAGGGAGTGCCCTGCAGACACTCTCTGCCAATCTGGGTTGCAGGAAGAACCAAGGAATTGCCCGCTGAACTGAAGGAGCGCTTTGTCCGCTTTGCCAAGTCTCTGGGCCTTACAGATGACCATATCATCTTCTCTGTCCCCACCGGTAATGGCCAGTGGGGGTGAGGGGCAAGGGATGTGGGGATGCGGGGACTGTCCAGGCTGATACCTACCCCACCAGAGAAAGGGAAGACACAGTCCCCTGCTCTAGCCACTGGAATCCACTTTGAGGTCTGGAAGACTCAGTGACACCCTGGGGTCTATGAAACCCTCAGGGATCCCGGCCCCAAGTTTCCCTTCTGGCAGCTGACCCGAGACATTCCCAGACGAGGATTCCAGGTCCATGTGCAAACATCCTCAGGCTTGCTGCCCCATGCCACTCCCGCCTACAGTCGAAGGCTATTTCCTCTCCAAACCTTGCCGTCTCGGGCCTTGCCCCATCCCATAACTTGGAAGACATCTTGTTTTCAAGTAGCCTGGGCAGGAGGCTCCAGCCAGGCCCCACAGAGCCACCAGCTGAGAGGCTACCAAGGCCCAGCGGGCAAACAGGCAGAAAGCCTGGGTCCATGAGCCGCTATGGACCTCCCACTCCTGCCCTACAGCGGCCCTTTAGGCCTTTCTCACACACTATCTGTTCCACATGGGTCCCTTGGCTCCCCAACCCTGAAAAAAGCCCCAGATATTTTGTAGTTGGGCTAGTCTGGACCTGGCGAAGCACAGGCTCCTGGCAGTCAGATATCACAAATGCTTGCCCCTCTGCTCTATTCTGATGAACTTTCTTGCCTACAGACCAATGCATTGACAACTGAACAGGCGGTGAGTGTGGCTGACTGGGATGGGCAGGGGCCGGGTGGGAAGGCCAGGGCACAGGGGACTGGGATCTCCACCTTGCCTCTGTTCCTCCTCTGAACTGTGGGTGTCCTGATTCTGCTATAGTCTCTTAGGTGCCTCCTGTCTGTCCCCAGCCCCATCTTTCCTGTTTCCAGAGAGCCACCTGCTTACCCCACCAGCCACGATACCAGTGAGCACCAGATGACTCTTCTTATTGGGCAGCACTGCCCAGCCACCTGTCCCAGTGACATCCCCTTGTCTGCTAAATAAATGCATGCCTCCAGTTCTCTGAGTCTGTGTTGCTTAACCCCATAATAATGAGGGAAAAGGCAAAGGGCGGGCTCACACCAGCATTATTCCAGCATGATGGTAGGGCTGCGGAGAGAAGACTGAGGGAAAAGAAGGTACCAGAACTCCAGCCTCCACAGCTTCACCATCACGGCCACTAACGGCCCCGCGTCCCTCCTGCGCGGAACAACACCGCACTTGCTGCTGTTTTGGCTTGGTACCCCTGGTCAAGGCCTGGGCTCACCTCCAGGGCAGTATGAGCTCCTCCATGCCTTGCCTCCAAGGAGTATCTTGTACTTGGGTACTGCCACAGGTCCCAAAGGGGCAGCCCCTCTGGAACTGGGAAGCTGGAAGAGCCTGGAGGGGGTATGAGATACAGTCATCCCACACTCATCTGGATCCTGTGATTGCTAGGAGTCGGAGGCCATTTCTCTCCCCCCTTGCCAGAATGCATGAGGTCCAAATGAACCCCTCTTTCCCATCTCACACACATATGCTGCCCCTTTCACCTTGGCCGAGGAGATGCGTGTGCCTAGGTGGTGACCACCCCACTCTCAGTCCTGCAGGGGGGCAGCACAGACCTGAGACCCAGCTCATCAGATGGCGTTGAAATCTGGGCTGGATTTCAGGAAGAGATGGCACAGGATGAGCAGCTAGTGAGGTATCGAGGCCGTGTTCAAGCCCAGAAAGGTTCCAGGATGAGCGGTACATCTAAGGCCTACTGGTTAAAGCCTCAGTGGCTGGCCATGTAAGGATGCTACACCACACATACTTCACTCCTGGGCTCCAATCTGACTGCGGATCTAATTTCTTTCTTTCTTTTGGGTCAGAGTCTTACTATATATCCCTGGCTGGTCTGGAACTCTATGTAGAGCAGACTGGCCTTGAACTCATAAGAGCTCTGCCTGCTTCTGCTTCCAAAGTGCTGGGATTAAAGGTGTGTGCCACCATGCCCAGCTTATTGATGTGGATGTTTTACTTGCTTATATGTGTATGAACCACATACATGCAGTTCCAGAAGGAGGAGTCTGATCACCTGGAGCTGAAGTTACATAGAGTCATGAGCCACCATATGAGTGTTGGGAATTGAACCCAGGTCCTTCAAAACAGACTGTTCTTAAACACTGAACCAACTCGCCAGTTGTTATTTTTATTTTTTACTTTTAATGATGTGTGTGTGTGTGTGTGTGTGTGTGTGTGTGTGTGTCTGTGTATAGATAGGTATGCGCACATGAGTGCAGGTGTTGAGGTCAGAGGCATTGGATTTCCCTGGAGCTGGCGTTACAGGTGGGTGTCAACTGTCTAAAGTGGGTGCTGAGAACTGAACTCAGGATCTCCGCAAGTGCACTATGTGCTCTTAACTGCTGAGCCATCTCTCCTGCCTAGATCCAGTTTCTTGTGTTGGATCAAGGAAGTCAGCTTCCCATAACCTCTTGCTTCTGTGGGCCCTTCAAATCAAACTCTCATGGCACAGATAGGGCTTTGTTTTTTCTTCCTGCTGATGCAAATCGAAATACATGGCCAGTTACAGCAGCATGCACAAGTATTCTCTTCCAGTTCTGGATGTCTAGGTTTGCGTTAGTTACATGGTGTCCACAGGGTCGTGCTCCCTGTGGGGTTCTGGGGAAGAACCCTTTTCCCTGCCTTTCCTGCTTTACTGAAGTCCCTATGCCGAGAACACCGGGCACCCTGGACTAGCCACTGTGACACCAGGAACAACCTGCTGACGCCATGGGGTCTCCTGGTCATTACAGATATACGAGTCCTGGTAAGGGCCAGACCCAGGATTACACTTCTAAGTCCAATCCACAAGCGATTCTGGATGGTGACTTTGTTTTTTGTTTGTTTGTTTTGTTTTTGTTTTTGTTTTTCAAGACAGGGTTTCTCTGTGTGGCTTTGCGCCTTTCCTGGATCTTGCTCTGTAGACCAGGCTAGCCTCGAACTCACAGAGATCCGCCTGGCTCTGCCTCCCGACTGCTGGGATTAAAGGGGTGCGCCGCCACCCCCCACCCCTCCACCCCGCCTCCCCGGCTGGGTGGTGACTTTGTACAGGCCTCCTTTTCCTACCAGTTCATGGAATGGGAGATGACTGATGCCGGGCTTTATCATGAAGCCTCCTGTGATGGACAGCCTCAAGCAGGGCCACTTAGCACAGACCTTTCGCGGCTCCCGGGGCCACCTACAGCAGGGTATAGCAAGTCCTTTCTGTACGGGAAATCTGACACACAGTCCTTGAGAAGGGCCTCACACTCCTCCCCAATCCATGCCCTATTTATTGGCATGGGTCAAACGGACTGGCTGTACATCTACTATTCAGGCTAGAGTCTAGTCTGATTTCCAGCCGTAAGTGTAGCCTTTGAGAGCCCTAAGAGAAGTGATAAGGCCAAGATAAGACGCGGTTGTGCGTCATCTGGGGGAGGAGCGGTGATGGGAACAGAGTTCTCGAAGCTATAGAAAGCCTTGGAAACCGCCTGTCTGATTCTGACCATGCAGAGGGGCGGAAGCAGTAGGATGGAGCCTAGTAGAAGCCTCAAGCTCTAACCGGCCAGGGTCTCTACTGCCTGGCCTTCGGTGCGTGCTCCCTCTGCTGACCGCGGTGCCCAGCGGCCGGCAAAGGGACGCGGCTCGGAAGCGAGAGGAGGAGCCTGAGGGCGGACGGGGGCGGAGCCCTGCTTGAGGGCGTGGCTTGTGAGGCCTCTGGGCGGGGCTCTGGGCGGGCCCCGGTGCGCCGCTGCGTTCCACCCTTCCGGCCCCGCGTTCCATCAGCTGCTGGCACCTTCCGCCCAGCGCCGGCTTTCCGCGCGACGGTCGCCAAGTTCTATTTTCGCGTGGCCTCTGCGGCGCCCGAGCCCGCAATGTCGGGCCCCAACGGGGATCTAGGCATGCCGATGGATGTGGAAATGGAAGACGAGAGTGACAGCTTCGGGGAAGCAGGTGACCCGGGCGGGGGTGGGGATGCTGCTGAGGCGACCTTTGCTTTGCTAGGGGTACAGTCCTGGGATCTGGAATGGGGCCGGGGTGGAGGGTGTGTGAGGGACTGAAGAGCCATCCCATCCCGTCCCTGGGTGGCTCTGGAGTTGTCCCCACGGCCACCTCGGAGGCAATGGTGAGCACTAGTGAACGGATCCCTGGACGATGCAATACTGGGGAACTGTCGCTAACCAGCCCTGGTTACATATAGGGAAACTGAGACAGCTCCAGAGATGCTTGTCGGTTTGGGATTTGCTTTAGCCATTTTCTTCGCTGAAGGGGGCGGGTCCTACTTGGCTCTCCAGGAGGTGTTGGCCCGGTGGGCGTCCCACTGTGCTGAGTCAGCACCCCAGCCACCTGGCTTTGCTGGTGTGATCGTTTTATCTAGCACTGTGTTGGGTGCACAGCACTGCGGAAGGACCTCGGGGGAAGCGTCAGCCCACAGACTTCCTTTGCACGTTTGGGAACCTCAGTTTTCCCATCGGCAATATTGGGCACATTGGTGTCTCCTGTTTTGAGATGTGTCGGGATTAAAGGGAAAATGGGATGGAAAATGGTTAGACTCTAAGATTCCAGCGTACAAGTTCCTTCTGAAAGTGGATAGTGCACACACACACACACACACACACACACACACACACACACACATATGCATAGTCAAGCCAGGTGCCTTGCCTAGAGGGCAGGACTTGTGCAGTAAGGATGGGGTATGCTTTGTTTAGTTATAAAAGCTTTATTGAGCTGTAAGTGACACTATAGATTTTACCATTTAAACCGTACAGTTCTGCAGGCTTTCATATATTCACAGCATATCCATTGTCACAACAGTTTTAGAATATTTTTCTCATAAATGAAGGTTGCCCTCCAACTGGAGGCAGGTGGTGGGTCATTAGGCTTACAGTGGGCAGTGTTGGGGACCGGGGTACGAGTGCATTGACTGCTGGCAGCCATGGTGGGGACATCATGAGGGGACCCGGGGAGGGGGCGGTGTAACACTGAGTGGACACTGGAATGGTGGGGAGGAGGCTCTCCGTTCCAGGACAGGAACAATGGCTAGGGGGTACCCCGATGAAGCCCCTCTGCTAGCCTGCCATGAAATGGGAAGATGGATCATAACAGCTGTCCGTTTGGTTCTTGATGTGGCCACACCAACTGAGCTCTCGTGTACTGGAACCCTCAGTGTCCCCCGCTCCAATAAGGAGTTGCAGGGGTACAGCAGCTGGGACTCAAACCGAAGGGTTCTGTCACCAAGTAGCTATGGGAAGTGTTCTAGTTCCTTCCTTCTTAGGCCTCAGTTTCCCCATCTGTGCCATGAAGGAAGGACTTTAAGATCCAGCAGCCTTCACAGACTATTCTCTGTCAGGGATGTCCTCTCTGGGAGCCATCCCCAAAGGCAGGCACATTTGCACTCTTCTCCCGACACCCTCCCTGGGCCTTTTTCTTAAATCCACCAGCTACTTCCCCTCTGGTCCCAAGCTGGCAGCTGAGTGCTTCTGAGTCACGGGCTGGCTCAGAACTGGGTCCCGCAGTGAGCACAGACCCAGACCTTGGGTCCTAAGGGACACAGCATTGCCAAGAGGCAGGTCAGAAGCCACTGTAGAGGAGGACGGGGAAGACTCCGAGGAGGAGGTATTTTGAGTTGGTCCTTGAAGGGTTGCTGTGGTTGATGAATTCTAGGTGGTAGACAGTTGAGCAAAGGCAGGGACCGGAAAGCCAGAACTTCATTCATTCATCCATTCACGCATTCATTCAGTAAGTGATTATTTGTGTCGTCGAGGGCACTGGGGAGACAGCAGAGAACACAAGACCCGTCACCTCTCCCAGATCTCTGCAGTGAGTGTGAGGTGGAGTACAGACTAGCATCCAGCCAGTCACAGTAGTGATTCCTGAAGGGAAAGCTATGGAAGGGGGAGGCTCCCTGGGAGGGCTCCCCTTGGTGACAGCCACACTGAGACTTGAAATAAGTGGTCTTCATCCCAGAGGGAAAGACAAGAAGGCCACCCAGTGCATTCAGGCACAGCCAGCAGTACATTCAGAGGGCCTGAGACAGGCGAAGCAGGTGAGAGGAGAGGAAAGGGGTGGGGGACGGGGATAAAGAGGGAAGGAAGTAGGGGGCTGGGTCTGCTCCAGGGCCCAGAAGCTGCTGGACTCTCTTCTGAAGGCAAAGGGCTGGAGGTCACATGCCTAGCAGAGACTTGATTGCCCAGCTCTGGACATGGCTGTGACTTCTAGGTAGCCATGGAGGGGAATGCAGAGGGAACTTGTCACAGGATAGGACCACCAGCCAGGACAAGGGCAGACTGCCTCAGGACCACTCTAACCCTACAAAAAAGGCGTGCTAAGGATGACGCTTTTCCTCCTGTGCTGCCTACTCATTTCCCCATGGTGACACTAACAATCAGAGAGATTGGGGATGTGCCCAAAGCCCTGTCGAGGGAGAGCTGGGGACACTGGGTGTACTGTGTCTATCAGCCCTGAGGAGGCACAGGACCTTCCCTGTCTTTTCCCTTCCTCCCAGAGTATGCTGCCATCAACTCCATGTTGGATCAGATCAACTCTTGTCTGGACCACCTGGAGGAGAAGAATGACCACCTCCATGCCCGCCTCCAGGAGCTGCTGGAGTCCAACCGGCAGACACGCCTGGAATTCCAGCAACAGTTTGGGGAGGACCCCAGTGATGCCAGCCCCTAGCTGCCAGGAGCCCCCAAGCAGGCCCCACCCTCACCTCTCTAGGCCATGTTCTGGCCTGGGTAGATACTACCTGGCTTAGACACCATCTCAGGTACTGGCCTTCAGATCCCCAGTGGGTCTTCCAGCCTGGACCAGGCCCCAATGCCCATCATCCCTTCTGGAGCCAGGTGTGGTCCTACAACTTACTTGTCTGCCTGCCCAGCTCTCGTCTTTCCCCTCCCCCCTGCCCCAGGACTGAGTGTCCATATTAAAGCGATCTCCCACACCACCGTCCCTCTTGTCTCTCTCTCTCTCTTTTTTTTTTTTGGTTTTTCGAGACAGGGTTTCTCTGTGTACCTTTGGAGCCTTTCCTGGAACTCACTCTGTAGACCAGGCTGGCCTTGAACTCACAGAGATCCTCCTGTCTCTGCCCCCCGAGTGCTGGGACTAAAGGCGTGCGCCACCACCGCCCGGCCCCTCTTGTCTCTCTGTGCCGGGGTTAAGGACCCCAGGAGCCACTGGAGGCAAATGGAGCAGGCTGTGGCTCGTGGGCATGTGGTAGGGCTGGGGTTCTTTTATTTCTGGTCCAGGGGTAAAGGCAAGGTCAGGGCTTCCTCCCTACCAGGTGTGCTGCCCGCTAGCAGCTGCTTCCCAGCCTGGCTGAGTTAGACATGCTCTGTGACCATGAAATATATTCAGCCTCTCTGGGCGCTAGGGCCTTCCACCACGATGACCGCCTCTAGGGTCTGACTGTAAACCTTGGCCTTCCACTCTAGCCCTAGTCTTCCCAGCTGGCAGTGACAGCCAGGCTGTCTTATCTCTAAGTGAGAAAACAGAGCTAAGGCTGGCCCTGCACTGCTCATCTGTCTCTGGGTTAGGAGGGCTGTGCCCTCTTGGCGAACCAAGAGCTGAACCTCAGCAGCAAGGACCCCCGCCCCCCAATCCTAACTTCATGTCTGACTCTGCAGCTGGACAGAGGCCAATACAAGAGCCAAGAATGTACACCTAGGGCTGTTTGCAAGAATGTCCTGGCTGTTTGCAAGTCACATGACCCTGCTAAGGCCTCAGTTTGTCTATCTGCAACTTGGGGGTAGAAGCAAGACCATCTGCTAGGTTAGCAGCCATAAGGATTCTCTCAAGTTGCCTTCCTAGCCCTGATACACGACAAGGTAAACTGAGGCTCAGAGAAGAGAAGTGCCTTGTAGTCCTATTCCAGCAGGGAGCCTGATGTTGGCTTCCCTGGTCCTCTACCACACTGTGTCCAGAGAGACTAAGTTCCCCTTCCTGTATCCACCCCGACACAGTGCTGGTGAGGACCGCAAAGCCAAACAACTCTTTATTGGATTTGGAGTAAAAACACCAACATGTGAACATTTCCACGCAGATACCTAGAAGGCATTAGCAGATCAGGCCCTAGGCATGTTGGGTGGCCAGAGCTCCCTCTATCAGGTTTTGAGGCGAGTTGAGCGCCGAAGGGGAGGAGGGGGGTTGGGGAATCCAGGCTTCACCTTGCTGGGTAGTTTCGCTGTGTCCTGGGGGTTTGGCTGGCTGAGCGGGCGGCCACTACCACTGTTAGAGGTGAAAAGTGCAGTCAAGGCATTTCGGGCATTGATCGCACACTTGCGGCTCACGGGTCGGCTGGCTGGGCTGGGGTTCTTGGCTGCTTTGTATTTCTAGATCCGAAAGTTTTCAAGTTAGGCACAGCCCATGGCACTCCTGGCCAGCAGCTGCTTCCCAACTTGGGCCAAAACAGTAATGATTTGTTGTGTGACCCTGTCTGAAGCTCTTAATGTCTCTAGGCTCTGGAGTCACCCACTCCCCACCCCCACCCCCAACACACACACACACACACACACACACACACAGACATAACCCATAGAGCCAAGCCTGAGTCCTTCCCTGCTGTGGGAGTATGGCTGGGAACTGGCTTGGTACAGCAGCAAACAGCTGCTGGCCATACCCGCCAGCTTGAACAGAGGCTGTGCCCCAGGCAGGGCAGTCGGATGGCCACTCACCTGCAGGTTCTCAAAGTGGGCCAGGGACTTGCAGTGGGAGAGCCGCAGTCCTGAGTTACTGTCGTAGAACTTGTGGCAGATGCGGCAGACGTAGCCCATCACGGGCACCAGGAAGTCCACACCTGGGGACAGACAGCGGGGGCTGCAGACTCGGGTCCCCCTCACCAGCTGGGGGTCCCACCGCCTGGAGGGTGGGCTGCCTGCTGCAGTACTGTGACTGAGACTGGGGGCTTAGCTTGGGGTCTTACCATATGCCGTGTTGGGGTTGTAAGTCTCTGAACCCTTCCGTTCCTCTAAAGATGGATCTCTTGACCTCACCTGGAGAGGGAGGGAGTGGGGCTCAGATGGGATGCCGCAGGCTCCACACGGACACAGGTCAGGGGCCTGCCGTGCACCCGTGGTCTCCAGCACACCAACCATCCCCTCCGCTCACAGCTCGTTGAGGGTGGCCTTCTTTGAGCCATGGCACACGCCGATCCTGCCTCCCAAGTGTCCTTCTGATGACTGCACTGTGGGTTTCAGTTAGCCCCTTCCTCAAGCCAAAATAAACCCCTTCTTTCTTAGGCTGCTATTTCAATACATTTGAGTGTGTGTGGGCGTGGGTACCTGAGGCTAGTGCTTGTCAATCTCCAGGGACTGGAGGCATAGGCAGTTACGAGCGACCTGACATGGGTGTGGGGAATTGAACCCAGGTCCTCTGAAGAGCAGCACAGCTTCTCACCGCCATCCTTTTTTTTTTTTTACTTTTTGAGACAGGGTCTTGGTATGTAGCATGTGATGGAGCTCTCAAGCCTCCTGCTTCAGCCTCCTTTGTGCTGGAGCCTCTGACCACCTCCCCCTGGTGCTGGGGAGCGAGTCTAGGGCTTTGCACGTGCTAGGCAAGCCTCTGTCACTGGGCTATCGTTCCCACCCCCAATCCACCTGCATTTCTTTTACTTTGTCCAGAAATAGCATGAACAAAGGCTCACAGGACTACGGACAGTCCGCTGGAGCATGCCTTCTGCACCCGGCTAAACACTGTTCCCTCTGCCCTCCCTTCTCCCACACAGTCAGTATCTCAGCCAGCCTTTAAGGCCCTTGTATATTTCACCTGTCACTCAATAGTCAACCCTGTGCCTATTTTCATGGCCACATGTGACAGAGCCCATAACTGCGTCATGCATTAGTAGCTACAAATGCCAATGCAGTGTTTGGGTCCCTGAAGGAGCAGGAGAGGCCCTCCCAGCTCTATTAGCCTCAAATGGCCCACCCCACATACCTGCTTGCAGAATTCCTCCTCAGCCTCAATCTCTTCCTCCTCCTCCTCCTCCTCCTCCTCGTCCTGATCACTCTCAAAGCAACCAACGGCATCTACTGTGATGAAGTGGTCCTCCTCTGGGCTGGCTATCTCCTTTTCAAGTGTCTTCAGCTGCCCACGGCATGGACAAGGGGCTTAGGTCAGCTATGGGCAGCTGAGGGTTCTAGGCCCTGCTCTATGATCTCGGGGGAAGGCTTCATGCTATGTTCAGGCAGCAGGTTACCTCCTTGGCCTTGTCTTTGTGTCCCTGGGACTTTACATGCTCCACAAACTTCCGAGGGGTCTTGAAGTAACGGTTGCATATGGTGCAGAAGGGCCTCAGGGACTGTTTGGCAATCTGGGGAAAGGAAGGCAGGCCATGTGGTGCACTGCAGCATCCCTAGGTACAAGCCACACTATCGGTGGCCCAACTCAGCTCTGCCCCTACAATGGGACATGCAAATCACTTCTCTTCACTATGTGGGATGGTAGGTGCCAACAGAGACAGGATCGGAGGGAGAATGGCCACCAAAGACCCCCAGTAGGCTAGAGGCTGAGCAGCAGGGTGAGCTGGTGCCTCCACTCAACAGATGGGCACAGGAAAGCCCAAAGAGGAACATGACTGACTCACCAAGCCACGTGACTGTCACATGAAGACAAGAACAGACTTTACCTCCCACTCCCACCCTGGGCCCCTCCCCCGCCCTGGCTTGGCACACACAGGTGCCTTTGCAGCATGTGAGTGGTTCTGGCACCTTGTGTTCCTGTGTCCTGCGGTGCTGGATCAGGTCTCCCACGTAGTACACCTGGCAGGTATTGCACCAGCGTTTTGGTGGGGGCTCTCTGAATGACGACAATAAAAACAAGCAGAGCATGACGCTATATTTTCCTGGAGTGCTCCGGAAATGCAATGCAGTTCGGAAGCGAGGGTTTAGGTCAGCCTACAGTGCCTTCTTGAGGGGCCAGGGTTCTAGTCGAAATAGTCAAAAGACAGAGGAAAGAGCAGAGATTCCTGACTTCTCTGAATGAGAGCTAACAGACATGTGCTCTCTGTCCACCAGGCCAAAAGCAGAGCAGCCATGAGTTCCTGCTGTCTCCTCGTCCTTGGTAGAGCCCAGTCACTGACTCAGTTGTCTGTCCAGGCCGGGGAAGGTTTTGACTTGTCTTCAACAGGGCTTAGTGTGATTCTGAACAAGTCAGCTTAGACCTCACCATGCAGCTGGCTTTAAACTCTCGATTTTAGCTGGGCATGGTGGCGCACGCCTTTAATCCTAGCATTCGGGAGGCAGAGGCAGGTGGATCTCTGTGAGTTCGAGGCCAGCCTGGTCTACAGAACGAGTTCCAGGACAGCCAGGGATACACAGAGATACCCTGCCTCAAAAATCAAAAACAACAACAAAAATCTCTTGATCCTTCTGCCTCGGCCTCCCAAGTGCTGGGATCACAGGTGTGTGTCACCATAGCTGGCTTTGTTATTGACACTCTGAAACTGTGAGGCTTCCTAAGTTACCCAAGTTCCTGGATTCTCCTCAAATACTGGGCACTCTGGCAACCACCCAGGCAGCTGTCCCAGGAGACACAGCCCTTATCTCCCAGTTCCCAAGTCGATCTGGTTCAGCTTTCTCCAACGACACTTCCTAGCCCTGAAGGCTTGTGACACCCCACTGGGGCCTGGCAGCTGCCACAGCTCCCCCCCCCCCCCCCCCCGCCTGCCCCTGCCTTGTCACTCCAAGTGCTAGTTCCAGACTCCAGGTGGACATTTCAGACCAACCACATCCCCTGTGACAAAAGGAGGCCTCAGAAGGTCTAACCCCAGGCCACAAGATGACCTGATTCTTGCCATCATGCTACTATGGTCGGGGCCAGCACACAGACCAGAGGAGCAGGGCTCTGTACCCTAACCCTCCTCCTGACCACGGGGGTGTCACACTATTCTCACCTGGAAGGACCCTTAGGATACTGTCACTACACCCCTCATCAGACTACTTTATAGACGGGAAACT